TGTGTGTGTATGTGAGTGGGGTTTTTTTTGTGTGTGTGTGTGTGTGTGTGTATGTGCGTGTGGAACAGCTGCTAAAAATACACAGCTAGCTGTTTCTGTTGAGAGGGGAGGTTGGTATTTCACCGTCTTTGCCTTTTTCCATTTAAAAAAAATTATTATTTTGTCTCAGGTGCACCTCAAAGGACATTGACTTTAGACCTCTATGGCGTCGTAATTAGTTCCACTATTCCGAGTTTGTGTTCGAGCTTCGCATAATTTTCTAACAAAGATAAAGGAAAAAAAACCCAGACTGGAAGTACATTTCGACAGATGCGTGGTTGAGTCTTTTGTGTTCGACCTATCCATGTTATACATGTACTGTAGCCTTTAACCCTCTAAGCCCTTTCCACCAGTAGACCGGAGGCCCGTAAAGCTGCCCGTAAAGCTGCACGTATGCCCAGCCATTGGTACATCGGTGAGTAAGACCCTATCTCCAACCGAGCCCATCTGGGACAAAACGTGCACAGAAACAGTGTTTACTACACAGGACGCTACTGATTATTTTGAAGATCTTTCTGAATTAGATAGATGCTGGTACAAGTAATGACGAGGACTACCAGGAGTGGGATTGGGAAAATTGATTCTGACTATCTTATGAATGTTAGTAATACAGTCAAACCTGTGTAAGACGGCCACCCACTGTCAAGAATAAAAGTGACCATATAAGACAGGTGGCCGTCTTAGGCAGGACTGATCAAGACGAAGAAAACAAACCATTCCCAGGCGATTTCCCAATCGAAAGTAGTCGCATTGTTATTATTTTGTTGTTGTTGTTGTTGTTGGTTTGTATTTTGTTTGTAATTTATATTTTGTTGCTGATTTTGCATAAGGGTAACAATAAAACGAATCAGACAAGTAAGACCGAGTGCCATGTTAAAACAAACACATGGGTCGCCACCACTCGGAGAACGAGTGACGCTTCTGTAACAAGTTCATGTTGACGTTCTTTGTTACTTTGTTACAGACTGGGTAACACAGTGACCACTCTTCTCACTTACGATTTGTGTACGAGTTCTGGGCGGGGCTTATGGGTTATGAGGGATCACACGTTTACCTTGCCAGCAGCTGAAAATTGGTAGCTAACAACAACAAGTGATCGAATTATGACGGCTCCCCCACAACGCCAGGGGCCAATGCATAATCTATGACAAAACGTAATGGAGTCACTGAAGCGGCCGTCTAAGACAGGTGTTATTGCTTAGTGTGATAGGGGTTGTGTGTTAAAATAAGGTGGCTGCGGCCGCATTGGACAGTTGTCCGTTTTACACAGTTAAATTATATAGAAAAAACGCAAGGGGGGAAATGGAAAGTGGCCGTTTGTACAGGTGGCCGTCTTATAGAGGTGGCCGTCAGGGCAGGTTTGACTGTATATCGCTCAGGAGCTCAGGCAGAGGGGCACTGTAGCCTCAGGAGGTCAGGGCTCAAAGGGTAAATAGTGAAAATTCTAACTGGAACTTCAGAAGTTACACTAAGTTACAGTCAAGAGTACGTTTTCAGCCGAGTACGTTATTCCGATGTCTTACTGTAATACTCATTGTTTTGCGCTGCACCATACCCTTATGTATACCCTCTCATGTGCCCCCTCATTGTTTCATTGAGGTATTATGTAGGCCTATTATTGCGCGTTGATCGGCTCTTTAACCATAAATGCATTTTTACAGTATTTTTCATTGGTGTCAAAATACTGTGAAACTTTCATTAATTTCCATTTAATTCTTTTCTTATAACAACAGTTAATGGAGATCAATTCCATTTCATGGTGCCATGGAAAACCACATCATATGGAAGGTCATGGTAGGTTAGTTAACTTAAACCTTGCCCAAAGTCTGAGTTGGGTTATTATTGTAGCATGTTGATAATGTGTATATCCAACTCACAGAAAACTCTGTAACAGATTCTAATTCTTCATCTTCTTCTTCGTCATCATGACTAGCTGTGACTCTTGAACATGGGTCATTCATTGTTTCCTCTTCTTCTTGATCTTCGTCCCCAGAACGAGTAGCCAAACAAGATTGGGGCCAAAAAAAATCCTCATTGGGTTCAGCAAGTCCCTGACAGGAAAAAAATGTAATAATATTCAGGGCAGCACTTCAGTGAATTACTTAATCAAAAAGGACATAAAAACATCTTACTTGACAGTAAGGGCAACAAAAGAAAACAGGAAACCACTACTACCTTCTCCTGTTCTACAAAATTCCTTTAACAAAACATCTTAAATATATGAAACACATAAGAGGCTGACATCAAGACTACTATTAATGGAGACTGCAAGTAGCATGAGTAGTATTAGAGCAATAAGAAAAAAACATTTAAAAAAAGTTTTAGTAGAGGTTTTATGCCGCTCGCAACTGCATAAGGTCATATGAGCACCAAGGGGTGGATGTCAACAGAGAAGTCCTTACGGGGAATCAGGCTTACTCTGCTTACCTCTCTAGCTTCAACAGCACAAAGTCTGCTTCGACTATCAAGGCACTCCGGAAATAGCGGGTCACAAGAGTGTGACAAACATATAAAAGAAGTAGAGGCAAAATGACAATAGTAAGGATTAGGAAAGAAAAAGCAGCAGTTCCCCCATTGCAGTCAGGCATAGTTAAGAGCATGACATTGATGAATCAGACCATTTACAATTACAGTTTTACTGTGCATAAGAACATGGTTAATGTACTCCCTTCGGGAATGGCCTAAAGACACTTCAGTCAGTAACCCCCCCCCCCCCCCCCCCCCCGGGCGGTGTAAGAAGACAAAAAGAAGTGCAGAGGAACAGACGGCAAAACCAAAGACATTCCCACTTGAAGAAAACACCTGGGGAGATGAGCAAAAACTAAGGAGAGGGTTGTAACACTATCTTGACTTATATTCAAAATAAAAGCATTCAGGTAAAAAAGTTAAAAGATGACACCTTGAATTCTATGGAGGTTTAGCCAACCTTCAACTATTTAGAGGTTCTAACTATTACAGAGGTGAGCTGTGCCACTGATAACCTGATATTAAGTCAAGCAAACAGAAAACATGGAACACACATGACCTTTGAGGGAATCAAGCGCAGGAAAAAAGATACAAGAATGGGTGAAACTATGTTAAACAGAGGAAGAGCTTTAAAGATTTCAAAGAGGCCAACATCAAAAGCTGTGCACATGAACAAGGATGACAACAATGATTGCAACAACAATAAGAGAACCTTACTAAATAAAATTGGGAAAGGGCAACCTGAAAATTGCTCCAAAAACTTGTAAAATGAATTTCTCTGTCAAGATTCGTTACTTCCCATTCCCCTAAAATTATCTATCTTCTTGACATCTATCATTTAAGTTTAAAGTTTCACCAACTAATAAAAAGACAAGACCTCTTGCTGATCAAGCTGTAAACAGGCTTTCTGTGCAGTTCTGAGGTCCCTTTCCGCATTCCTCTCAGAATATCTGTCACTCATTCTGTGCAAAAACGAACTGGTTCTTGTTTCTTCAGTTTTCTGTCGCTTCGCTCTCCATCTGTCCATCTCAGCCACTTTTCTCTTTCTTTCTGTATCTCTTCCAAGGCCACCCCTGTCTGCTTTTACCTCTATTGATACAGGATCAACTCGGCCTTTCTCTGAAACAAAATTTGAGACATCAAAATTTATAAACATAGTTTAACTCCTTGTCTCTGGCAGGCAGCTCCCAGCAGCTCGCAGTCAGAACTGCTGTGTTGGTGACTCGCTATAATGCGGCTTGGGCACATTCTTTTATGACAACTTTGATGTCAAACACAGAATTCTACACTTATAGAAGCGGAACTCCCTCTTCGCGATCGCTGATTCGCTGTGAGGAATTGAAACTAAAACATGGCGGCCAATTGAGGGCATCTTTGGCTGCGCCGCACAGCGAGGTTTCGCGTTGCTATGCACGCTGATGCTAGTGGTAGGGCTTGGAAAACACCTTACATCAGTATTTTAAAACTTTCTTCGAAGAGGAAATATTGTGAAATAGTCTAGTACATTTTTATTGCCAACAATATGTCATAACTGGCAATGTTACAATGTTTTTGTGTTGTTTGTTTGGGTTTTTTTAAATGATGGGATGGGATCTAGATCTAGATCTACTAAAGATCTTCACACTCACAATACACTTAATAATAACACTAATTATGAACATTAATTCTGTTGGCAAAATATCTAGATATAGTCGTGATTAGTACTACTACGATAAAGGGGACGCTGACAGTAACATGCTCACTACAATTACATTGTCAATAAACTTTTAAGGCCATCCACAGCAAGCAAAAAAGAACAATATAACTTATAAGCCTTTTCTCCAATTTACTAGAAAGGGATCAATAAATTGAGCTTATATTGAGGAAATGTATTATTTCTCACTTTAAGAATTCATCTCTGTGTTTGCATCAGTGAAATATAGTGTGTACAGCATGCTTTGTTTAAAGTACGTGCGAGTCTAACAAATACAATAGATTGGAGAATGTGTCGGTTGCACATAAAATACATAGGCCTATTATACATGCTGCCAAAAACACAAAAATGCAGAAAAGGCCTAAAATATTGTTTTACACATAAAAGCCAAATATTGCAAAACAAAGTAAACAAGAGTGGAACTGGCATGTTTCCTGAATATAGTTCCAAAGTCATTTTTGTGTGTGTTGAGAGTGTGGTTTCTAATGCATGAATGATAGGCTCATTCAGATGTGATAATGAAGAAACTTGTGTCTACAGTCACAACAGAAAGAGTTCCATGGCGAGTGATCACTGGTCAAGGATTTCAGAGCTGTGTGCATTTTGAGAAATATCTCCATACCCTGAGATCACACGTCGAGGGGACGGGCTTGTCCCCCTGTAATCCCCGCACACAGTGAACAAACACATATTTTTGAACACGTATAAGAAAAAATAAGTGGTCTCTTGTTACGGATCAAATTGAAGTCTTGTTACAATTCAAGTAATTGATAAAAGCACGTATCGCAAGGCATCGGCTAACCCAGCACTATTACGCTATTTTATAAAAACATTTGTGTGATCTGGAATCTTTAATCTTTAATTTTTAATCCCCACACACAGTAAACAAAAACACATTCAAGAAAACGTATTAAAAAAATAAGTGGTCTCTTGTTAAGGATCAAATCGAAGTCCTGTTACAATTCAATTTATTGATAAAAGCGCGTATCGCAAGGCATCGGCTAACCTAGCACTATTACGCTATTTTATAAATACATTCATCAGATCTGGAATTTTTAATCTTTAATTTTTAACCCCTGCACACAGTAAACAAATTTGTTAACACACACTCATGAACACATATAAAAAAATAAGTGGTCTCTTGTTACGGATCAAATTGAAGTCCTGTTACAATTCAATAATTGATAATAGCGCACATTGCAATGCTTTGGCTAACCCAGCATTATATGCTATTTAATAAATACATTCGTCAGATCTAGAATCTTAAATTATAATCATAATTATATGTGCCCGCACTCGGGAAGGGAAAGTGAAAGGAATTGAAAATGCTTTCAAAAACAATTATGAAAGTAACATAATTAAAGTAGGACTACCTGTGCTTATAAAGGCCCAAAAAGGTGTATGGATGCGGAAATTAATGTTTCGGATGAAAATAATACGCTATCGACTACTACTGTAGCATGCGGTCAAAATTTTTTTTCCGCAACTTACTATCAAATATCTAGGCTACTGAACTATTGAACATCTAGATCTAGATTCTCCTACTTTTGCACAATGACTTAGATCTATTATTTTTTCAAACATTTGCACACATAGGTTCTATATTATTCTAGAAATTTCTTTAAAGAAAATTCTTTAACAAATACTAGCCCAATATTTTAAAAAAATCCCTGTCAATGGTTTCTACAGATTTTAAAAAGTTTACAGCTGGAGCTAAATCTCTTTTAAAATCAAGTCCGTCCTTTTTTTTCTACTTCTGCTAGCCACATAAAGCTAATTATTGAACGCATGTTTTGAGAACATTAATTAGATCTAGTGAAAAAATATGTTCACAGTAAAACAAATTTCTTGTACCAAGTTTGGCCACTAGGCCACATATGCGTATGCAAAATGTGTGTGGGAAGAGTGCTGTGAACAATCCCATCCGTGTTACGAATTTTTTCAGTTCTGTAGATTTTATATCAACTCTCTATGTCTGTTGTTGCACCCAAAAACACAACAATTTAAAACCTTAATTCCAATCTCCAGGTTGCACAGTGAATTCTGAAACTCAAAATTACAAAACTGGACAGTAAATGTTCCACTTTTCACTCGTTTGTAAAAGCCGCTCTGGCTTTAAAAGCTATAGGGTTACTTCCGAAAACAATAAATCTTGCCCTCAAGACGCCATTGTTTTCGGTCTTCAATTCCTCACAGGTCACGTGGTACAGTGCTCATTCTATAAGTGTAGAATTCTGTGATGTCAAATCACTTTTCCGCAATTGCCAAAAACAGGTTTCTTCTACCAAGAGTTCATTCATTAGCTGAAGAACTATCGAAATAGGTTCACTTGTTTTGATTTAATGAACAAGTTAGTGATATATATATATATGTGTCAGTTTTAGATATCGTACCTAAAGGGGACCCTGGCATAGTGGGTCTACCCCCCCACGGAGATTATCGAAGTCCTTCACATTTGGTTTGTGGATAGTGAAAAAGAACATTTCCTTATTTTATCAAATGTAGTTAAATCTTTTTCTTCTTCTGAAAATAGTAAAGTATGTTACCTAGTTTTTTTGTTCAGTTAAGCAAGAATTTGTTCTCAGAGATTTTTTTTCCAAGTTTAACTTTAACTCCTCCCAGACATACCACCAATATAGCGCGAGTCCACACCCCTTGTGGACATATCGGCAATGATGGGGTGCCTCAGTTTTGTTTCATTTTGACATGACCTGTCATTTATAAGTACACTATTGTTATTGAAAACTTGGAAAGAATTTGGGAAATGAAAACATCAAGTTTCACTTTGTCAAAGCGTCAGTTTGGCGATAAACGAGTGAATTCACACTTGCGGTCTTGCATCAACAGAACGCTGTAACCGGACTCAGAAAAAATATCACGACTGAAACAAAAATTTGAATATTGCTTTCAAATAAAAAGCCTGGCATTCAGAAATTTGTGGATTGTGCTGTTGGCTTCCATATATATGATTAGATAGCTATGCTAATTAATGTAAGTGTAATTTATTTTCCTCATCACCATCATCCATTCTAACCCTTGTAATGCATGCTTATGTTCAAAATTAAACCTCATTTACGTTTGAATGTATTCCTCATTCAATTCCCTTCAATTTGATAAATCTTATGTTACCTTTTGAGTGATGGCTCTGCTTATATCAAGTTATTTTGTACATCATCTGTATAGCCAAACCGAGCCCCAAGTTAATTACGTCTAGACCCCCCAAAATACTGCATCTGGAAAGAGTAAAAGTATTATTACCTTCCTTTTCCTTTGGACATACCAGTAATTATCAAAGCAGTTACTTAGAAAATTAATTATACAGTAGTCTCCGCCTAAGATCCCACCACTTACGATTCCGGTTCACTTAAGATCCGGCCGTTTTAAGAAAACAGAATTTAAACTATACAAAAGTCACCCCTAAGATCCCGCTCTGATTCACTCTGAAAGTGTACATTCGGCTAAGATAAAGCATTTCTGATAAAAATTTACTGAATAAAACCCTGGGCGAGCAAGGCCGATCAACCGAGAAGGAAAAGTTAAGATCAATGAACTGCCTGTTACGTCAAAGATCAGCCACTCTCGTGAATGTGATCACATAAGCGTTGTAAAACTCGATGAAACAGTACAATGTTTGCCCCAGATGGGATCAAACCAATGTGTGAACTGACCGACGCGTTTGTTTTCCCCAAACATCGCACTAGCATCTCTGCTCTCCACCTAAACTTACATAACCTCGTTCCAGGCGGGATCACATCGAACTGTGAACTCTTCCCTGACCATCACAGCAGTTTCTCGAATTTGCGAAACGACTGAATTTTAATTGGCGTGGTCACAACGCAATGGTGGGTAACGACAAAGGCGGAGGAACTCGATCAGAGATGGAAAGCTATAAATTTTTTACAGGTAAAGGGGAGGTGTAACTGGATAAGCTTAGATCTTGAGACTTACTTTTGGATAATAAGTGAAAACGGCACGCCTCATGCCACTATGCACTGTGATAGGTCATCAAGGTTAACTAGTCTTTGCTTGCCAAATGTCATTAACCCACCCAGGGGTCAAGTCAGTTCATTTTAGAGGGAAGGGAGACCATTTTACCGATTGTGAGCCTTAACATAGGTCACCATAGATTCTTCCCTGGGTTTGTCGGCTAAGATCCCAGTTCACCTAAGATCCCGCATTTTCCTTGCTCCCGAGCACCGGGATCTTAGGCGGAGACTACTGTATTGTGCAAAATATTTCTTACCTTGTTTACCAATACCCATTCCGGGCTTATATCCCATTTTCTGTAACAAAGCAAAGCCTTTATTGTCCGATGATAAGCTTGTCTGTAGTCCTTTCTCACGGTGCATCATCTCCAATTTCTTTTTGCCAATGATTGGATTGGCCACTTTGTTGGGTTTACTCAATGCCTTATCCTGAGTTTTCTTTGAACCTAGACCAGGCCTAGTGTCATTTCTGAAATGAAATGCAACAAAATGTTTTGGGATGAAACTTTTGAGCTTGCACAGGCAGTTGACCAACAACAGTAAACCTCACATTCAAAATATTTGTCCTAGAGAAAACAAAGTCCAACTTAAGAATGCACTCCAGATTAATGATTAATAATTCTATGGGGACATCAGCCACTGAAGCATAAGGTTGCAATGTTACAGTGGAAGCAAATACCGGTTTTATTTGTATTCCCCTTTATTGCTGCCCTAAATACAATACATTTTGAGTTTCAAAACACCTTGGATTTTTTACCCCTCAATATCAACATGAACATATAGGACCTAAGACTCTCTCTTGCCCTTTTTAAAAACTCCCAGAGGAGCGTTAAAACTCCCAGAGGAGCGTTTTCCTTATTCCACGTCAAAGCCTGTCTGATGATGCTTGTCGGGGGTCTCCTCAGGGTGTGCCCAATCCATTTCTTCACCTTCATGTCTTCCTTTTCTGGCCTTTGTCATGTTCTTTCCCACAGATGAGCATTTTATGACTGGATCGTGCCACTTGATCCCCACTATCCTTCTTAGACATCTATTTATGAAGCTCGGCAGTTTCCTTGTTGCTGCTGCTGTGAGCCTCCATGTCTCTGAACTATACAGTAGAACAGTTTTCACGTTTGTTTTGAAGATCCTCAGCTTGGTGTTCAATCCCTGCTTCTTAGACATCCATATATTCTTAAGGATGATGAATACTGCTCTTGCCTTTTGGATTCTGACCTTGATGTCTTCGTCTCTTCCCCCTGCCTTGTTGATGACACTTCCCAGGTAGGTGACGGATTCAACATCCGCCAATAGTGCCCCTTGCGGTGTGATAGGAAAGTCCGCTGCATTCATTCAAAGAACTTTTGTTTCATCCGTGTGAATATGGATTCCAACACTACGAGAGAAGATCCTGAGGCGATCTGTCTTCTGTTGCATCTGGGCTGGACGGTGAGAAAGAAGGGCCAAGTCGTCGGCAAAGTCAAAGTCTTCCAATTGACTGGAAAGGGTCCACTGAATGCCACTGCTTTATCCCGATGTTGTCTGTCTCATTACCCAATCCATTGCTAATAAAAAGAGAAAAGGCGATAGCAGGCATCCCTGTCTCACTCCTGTTTTCAATTCAAACGATGCCCTCCAAGTAAGACACTGCAGCTCATTCCCTCATACATCTTCTTGATCAATCTCATGAACTTGTCAGGTACTCCGTAGTGGCGCATGAGCTTCCATATTGACTCCCTATCTAGGCTGTCAAAAGCTTTCTCATAGTCAACAAAGTTAACATACAGAGAAGAGTTCCACTCTGTGGACGGCTCCACTATTATCCTCAAAGTTGCAATCTGATCTGTATATGATCTCTTTTTAGGAAATCCTGCCTGTTCCTCTCTTAGTTTTACATCCACGACTTCCTTCAGTCTATCCAGTAAGGTACGACTTAAGATCTTCCCAGGAAGGGACAACAGCGTGATTCCTCTGTAGTTTTTACACTCATGCAGGTCTCCTTTCTTGGGTAGTTTCACAAGCAATCCCTCTCTCCAATCCTGGGGAAATTCTTCGGCATCCCATAGCTTGCCAATAATTCCGTGAAGAATCCCTGCCGCAGTGTCGATATCCGCCTTGAGAACTTCTGGTGGAATTTTATCCTAGTCGACAGCCTGCCTGCTTTTTGGTGTCTTATATAGCCTCCTTGATCTCTAAATTGGGCTTTTCTTCACTCACCTCCAGATCAATCTCTGCTGGTGGAATGTCAAACTGTTTTTCTGGCCTTGGCCTGTTCAATAACTGTTTGACATGCTCCTTCCAGCGTTCTTTCTGTTCGTCTGGATTTGTGAGAAGCTTTCCCTCTTTATCCTTAACTGGGACATCTGCGTTCCTGTATCTGCCTGCAAGTTTCTTGGTGGTTTCATACAGTCCTCTCATGTTTCCTGCCCCTGCTGCTTCCTCTGCTGTTGACTTTTACATTCTTCATGGCTTTGGTGTATTCTTCTTGGGCCTTTGCTTTGGCTGTTCTTGTCTTGCTCCTGTTTTCCTGATCCTCTTTCTTTTTCCTGTCTTCTATCTTCCTCAGAGTGGTGGCAGATATCCACGACTTGTGCTCACGTTTCCGTTTCCCCAGTACCTCTTGACACACACAGTGGTCCAGCCTTCTTTTATTACCTCCCATGTTTCTTCCCCGCTGCTATCCTCGCCTAGTGTTTCCAAAGCTTAGAACCTGTTCTTAACTGCTACATAAACTTCTTTCTTGACGATGGCTCTCTCAGAAATTCCGCGTCTTACAGGCACCTATGATTGACAGTCCCCTGTCTTTGCTTTAGTTTTAGTCAGATTGTTGAAATGAGCAGATGACGGTCAGAAGCTACGTCTGCACCCCTGTAAACTCTAAAATCCCTTATTGATCTCTTGAATTTCATGTTGACGCATATGTGGTCAATCTGGTTTTCACTTTGTTGTTCTGGAGACATCCATGTTGCTGTGTGTATCTGTTTATGTGGAAAAACAGTTCCTCTTATCATGAGCCCACTTATTGCACATATTCCCACAAATAGTTCTCCAGAGAAGTATGTAACAACACAGACACTGGACTCACTGGTGCATTATTTAAAAATGATAATATTTATCAAGTTCAAGAAATGATAGTACAGTAAAAAATTCGTGGTGCAACTTATCCTCAAATATATTTGGTTAACGGGTGAATCAGCATCTCCCATACTTTGCACAGCAGTTTATTAATTCGTTTTAGTTTAATCATATTTTCCCACAACTGAGTCTAGATTAAAAAACTTCTGCATAAATATAGTAAGACAAAATGCTACAAATCTCCATTATTTTGCATTCACATAGCACTCATCACAGCTCACCAATGACACATTTTTGTGGCAAAACTTGCAACAAAAAATTAACTATACTGTGAACACTAGTTTTGCACTAAAGGTTCTCAAAACATGCGTTCAATAAGCATAGTATCCCAATTAGAATAAAGGACAGACTTGCTTTCAAAAGGAAAAAGCCATATATATTGCCCCAGTTCAAGGGATGCAAACCTTTTAAAATCTGTACAAAACTACCCATATTGTGATTGTATATTAGTACATTATATTAAGGAATTTTGTAGATAAAGCCGACAGGTGTTAACAAAAATTCTGATCTGTAAGACAATAATAAATGATATTGTACTTTTCCTCCCGTCTCACACATAGGCCCAGCTACTGGGTGTCCTTTTCTCAGTGCTTCCACCAGCTGAAGCTGAAAAGTAAGGATAATTCTGCCGGGGGTCCAGGGACAGGGCCCCAAAGAGATTGAAATTTAGTACTTTTAGAGGGTTGAAAATGGCATTTGGGAGCCAGTTTGAAGAGATTGCCAACAACCCATAATGCCTATTTTTTCACCAAGATTTTGTCTTGTTTGATTTCTTCACCAACATATCTTTCCATTGCTGGCAATGTTTAAAAGCAGGTTCCCCTTCCATTGCTACTATGATTCAATTAATTTGTGATCGCACCATTGATAGAAGGCAACCCTGGGAATAATGAATAGATCTTCACAATACAGTTACCCAGCGTGTATACCATAATTTTTCTCAATTTTCACGTCTGAATGTCGCATGTCACAACCTTGAAACACCACTTCGAATAATTCTTGAATTTAGTAGTTTTAGCACAAATTTCTTTCATCTCGGCCCTTATCGCGTTCCTGTGCCGTAGAATCTTCGTATAATTTCTCGAGATCTAGACAATAAATTTGCAAAAAAGTTTCTTTCTGACAGTAATTTTCTGTCTGAGATCACAACTTAATATACTTGATCAACGCGCAGATTTTCCAGCCGCGGCAACAATCCGAAGATAGACAGACGGAATGAGGGAATGATAGAAAGGAGGAAAGTGGCACAAAAAATTCTACAGATTTTAATCAATCTGAAGGTAAAAAATGTACTGTCGACCAACCAGCAATGAATGCATGGGGCATAGCGGAATAATGGCTGATTGCAGGAAATGAGCAATCTGACAGGTTTCTATAACATAAACTATTGCCGAGAGAATTACCATAAATATTCGTAAACTTATACAAGACGATACGAAGGTGAGTACGGATCTTTTGCTACGGAATTTCAGTAGTCCTACGCTGTCGCAGATTTTTATGGAGGGAGTTAATAATTTCTGTTAAAATACGGAAGAGTGGAAGCACTGCTTTCTACTATATATTGATGCGTTGAACACAACTATCGACGTCATTTCTGTTGCAAATTTAATTTTTGAAATATTTGAAGGTTTTTAATTTCAATAGAGCTACCAGGTGGCCAGAAAAAAGGCTCGTCCAAAAGAACGCCTATAAAACAGTTATAGAATAAAGGTGCAATCCCCAAATTTGCAGAAACTTGGAATATCCATCCAAATTTATTTTGTATTACTAACAACAGAATATGACAGCCACTTACAAAGTTACAAGATATCGTCCAGATACCACAATTTTGAGTAAATCCCACTCTCTGCGTGAAATTTGATGCCAGAGCTGTTCTGGGCTGGATGATTACCCGTTGACACTGCTCAGGGGAAATCTCTCTTGCGCCTCCCATGATGGTTTACTCTTAAGCCTTTGATACTTTCAAAAATTTTCCCAATCCTTCAACAAAAACTCCTAATGGTGAATGTCCAGTGGACTCAAGTCCTGGTCATTTGGGGTCCAGTTGTGCTCAGTTGGACTGACTGTCCCGTAATCAGAATGGTTGTTGACCCAACTCAGAACTGCTCTGGTGTCATGTGGAGCTGTTCTACCTTGCCGAAAGTGCTGGTTCTTTTTCTCTTCATCATCAACTAATAGTCCCAAGCTCCCCTAGAACCCTGTAAGATGACGAGGTAGGCCTATTGGTCAGAGTTCACCAAATCACGGACCACTGCAACCTTTTCAGGAGTGCTTTGTTTTTATAGGCTGCCTCATGTGTTACTCAGGGCTTAGAATTCTAGTCCTTATTTCTATGGACTGAAACCTTTTAAAATTTGCAGCCCATTACCAAATGGACCTTTTACCAAATGGACCTTTTTTTGGAAAGCTATGCTTTATTACAGATATCCATCCCGTATTCCCAAGCAAATAATGCATCATGCATGAGTTGATTTGGGAGATTTTGTTTGCTGATAGGTCTAAACTGTAAAAAGCAAGTTGTACAAGAGTGAACTGATTTATCATCTTTCTGTTGTGCAACAGCAATTAATTTCTTTTTAAACATACTCTGAATGTATTTTCTACTTGTCGGTCAGTTTTGATGTCAATTGAGTCATGAAATATAATATAAACAAGAAAGTTATTAACATTTATTTGAACAAACTTTTTTCTCTGGCAGGCTGATCACAAAAAATGGGACTAAACTTAATTGAGTAGTAATTACAAAGCTTTGGACCAATTGGGGCCTTAAGTAAAAAAAATATTCATGGGGGTTACAGGGAGGCAGACTTTTTAAAATCCAAAATTTGATATTTTACACCGCTAGGTTCGATATTTTCTTGAAAATAATTTGTGTCACTATGCGTTGGAATCAAGCGCTCATCAATTTTTGGGCGAGTATGGAGTTATTTGGTATCAGCTTAAAGTTTAACTCTTGTCCTGCATCTGTGCTGGAATGCGAATCTTATCAGTAACCGATTACTTCGAACGTTCCGGGCAGGCCGCTGAGGCCACTCAGTGTGTACTGTTGGCATATAGCGAGCAGGCCTGGAAACGTGTGATTTCGCCATGAATACCGTGGGAGTATGATAATTGATGATGAAAATAACGCTCTATCTTTTATAGCTTTCTATTTATAAAGTGTTACGAACACATGAATAACCCCCTCTCATAAGCTGATAAGACATTACGAGTAGTTACTCCCATTCGAATAACCTTTTTAGACGCTCCTGTTGTTATGAATGATCTGGGGTTCGAAAGGGGATAATAAAGGTCAATTTCCGAATGTTTTGCACTCAAATATTTCTTTTTACCAGCACAATGGTATTCAAAATTATCAAACAAGCTTATTTTTTATCAGGTAGATCTAGTATCATTTCATACAAAATCAAGCTCATTTGAAAGATTTTGTATAGAAAAATGGAAGTTTTGTTTCCTAACTATCCTTTCGAGCTCCTCATGTTTAAGTGGGTCAATTTGTTCTAATTTCATTGGACAAACATCTAGAGCTACTAACTTGGCGTGTTTCGAATGAGACGTATGCCTCGGTTATGAACCAACCCAGGGGGTTCTAGAAGTAGGCCACAAACGCACACAAACTCTAAGAAGACCGACGCACACACACTTGAGCTGCGTGAAGGCGGGTCAGACCCAGGACCCGGACGGAAAGGAGATGATGCTTAGCGCGCATGTGCTGAGCCAGGGGCCGGACTGGACAATAATATTAGCAAAACACTGCCTTAGCCGCATTCCTTTCATTCGTGAGCTGTGGACCAGGCCAGGGGGGTCGGTGTCGTCCCCTTGTAGTTGCTGTCGCCTGTGGATACACTCGTACATTCTTCCTTTCACCTGCTCTGTCACTCACACAGTCTCTCCATCCACAGCTCAGCTCGTCATCATACGTTCAAAAGTTGCCCACTGATCATGTTTAGTTAGTGTGTGTATAAGTTTGTGTGTGTACATGTGCATGATGGTGGTGGGTGTGTGGTGGGTGTTACAGAAGGTTCTCTGTAGGCGGGCTTGCCATGCGGTGTTCCTTCCTAGTTCCCAGACCAGAGGCAGAATGAAAGTTGGTGCCAAACTCTCGCAATAAATAGGCAAAAAAATCACTAGACCAGAAGCCGGAAACCGTTCGGAGAAATAAAGATCGGCACTATTTCTCCGAACGTTCGGAGAAATAGTCACTTCGTTAATATTTTGCAGTTGTTAGGTTTGATATATCTTAGCTCGCCGCGCATCAAATATGTATAGATCTAGTTCTAGATTCTAGTCTAGAGATCTAGATCTAGATGTAGGTCAGGCTCAAATAAGGGGGTAGGGAACTACCGAAAAAGCACCGATTTATGTGCAGTAGTGAAAGTAAAAATTTAACAAACAAATTGATACTAGACTAGATCTAGATTCTATAGATCTAGAATCTAGGGAAGGACTTCCGTAACGAGCGACCACCCCATCAAACACAATAAAGAAGAGGCCTAGATCTAGACCTAACCCTAACCCTACCCTTACCCCAAGCCCTCAATTCTGCTCTGTCTCATAGTGGTCGCTCGTTAAGGAAGTCCTCCCGAATCTAGACCTAGATATAGATCTTGATCTAGAGCTAGATCTAGATATATAGATCTAGATCTAGATCTAGATCTAGCCTAGGCCATAGATCTACTAGAAGAGGTGATCTTGTAGTTCCGTTCGTTTAAGTCCACGACCCATTTGTTTACATCCAGAGAAGAAATCTAGAAGTCTTGATGACCAAATACTCTCTTTGAAATAGGCTGCACAAAGAGCAGGGATGCAACCTAACTTTAAAACATCACATTAGGAAAACATTCAGGGGGGCATGCCCCCCTGAACCCCCCAACCTCCATATTTTTATTAGGTCAGGGGGCCAACAAGCCCCCCTGAAACCCCCCATCTCTTGACTTTAACGAACGAAACTACAAAATCGCCCTGGAAGAACCTAGATTCTAGGTCTACCTTGAGCCAAGAAGGCGCTGAAACTTTCCGAAATCACAAAAGAGTTCCCCTACCGGGTCTGTATACTTTGTGACTTTGTTCCCGGTTACCGGGTCTGTATACACTCCCTTGTAAAAAGCTGGAGACTGGAGACTGGAGAGTCTATGTGACTCTATGATCGACAGTTAATTAAGTCGCCGTCACGAATTTTTGCTCACACTAAATCTCACTTCTCTAAAGCTTTGAGAAAGGCATCGGACATGTAGTCTTCTTCATCACTCGACATCGTGTTCCCTGAATTTCGGAAATCTGGTGTGAGTGTGAAAACAGCGTCTAGGAAGGCACAATTCAAAGGCGTCAAACTCAAATGTTGCCCAAGCCACAGTCAGTCAGTCACAGGTGAAACCAGAAGCTGAACCTGAAAGCCTTCTCTAGATCTATAGAGGAGGAGAGGTAGATTGTAAACAAAGCACTCAAAATACAATATAACTGCTAGCGACTTTATAGAGTCTCTGCTTGAATATTAATAATAATCATAATTATACTTATAATTATAATTATAGTAATACATGTAATAATACATTTATGATCACGGTTATGATTATAATAATTATACTTATAATTATAATTATAATAATAATAGTAAAGGTAAGGCAAACACATATATGATCGAGACGTTTCATAACACCCCACTGAAAAGAAAAGAAAGGCACACAGTTCGACTTTATATCAACACATTGATTAAAATCCACTACTGCAATAAAACGGTTTAAAATTGACATAAAAATGCAGGCCAGCAAACGGGCACTCAGTGTATAGCGCTGTGAACAGTTGGTGAATGTTGAATAGCTAAAGTTAGGGATGGGCTTCTTATCATATAATATAAGGG